GAGTGCTTTTTCCTGCTTCTGTTCACATTTCAGTTTGTAGCTCCTCATGGACTCGTGAATTACAAAGGGATTTCACAACAGTTGCACGTGGCAATTGAGGAATGTTTCGTAATGTTAAATAATGCATATTGCTTTTAAATGTATATGGATCATATATATAAATATGTATGCTTTTAAAGATATGTATATATGAATATATCACACTTCAAGTATGATCCTGAGGTTTTATACTAATGCCTAGATGGGCGTTGAATGCTAGAAATACAAATTTCTTTTATGAAACATCTAATACGATTTAGCTAACTATTCAAAAATCAAAATTGAAAATGTTAGTTTTATTTCTGATTGTATTAAAACATTTTGAAAATATACATGCAAATAATTTTAATTTTACACTTTGACTTTGATGTTCACTTATCTTCATGAAAATATATTTAAATATATTTAAAATATATCTTGAATACAACTACGTTTTCAATCCTTTAGATGATCTCTATGAATAGAACTCAAATTATGTGAAAATCACATAATTAGGGATTTTTGCTCAAGTTAAGTGAAGAGAATAAATTTAATGGGATAAATATATGGTAATTTATGAATTATGTATGTCTTCATTTTATTCTCATGCAAATGTCACCAACTCATCAAGAGAGTTCTCAGACATGTGCATTAATAATTAAATTCAGTCATCTTTGGTATTTTGCCGATTTTCAGTCATTAAGAACAGAACTCTGTGCATATTTGGTATTGCCATAGTGAGGATATGTTTATCAAGGTAGGAAGATAGAACTTATTTTCCAGAACAGTTTCTTAGCTCGATTTATAATTTTTAAATGTTTAGACATATGATATATGGGCCTTCATTTATACTGTTGCTCCGGGCCTCACAAATATTAGGGCAGGCGTGCATTTTATAGCCTCCCAAAGGTTTCTCTTTGATGATAGTGTCTGTATTTATGAGCACCTCTCCTGTATCAGGCACCATGTCCTCGATGCGGTTAGACAGATGCCTAGTGCCCAGGCCCTGCCTTTGTGAGGCTTAAAATGTGACAGGTGTAGGGGCACCTGGGTGGCTCAGTCGGTTAAGCGTCCAACTTTGGCTCAGGTCATGATCTCATGGTGCGTGGGTACGAGCCCCACGTCGGGCTTTGTGCTGACAGCTCAGAGCCTGGAGCTTGTTTCAGATTCTGTGTCTCCCTCTTTCTCTGACCCTCCCCTGCTCACGCTGTCTCTCTCTCTCTCTCAGAAATAAATAAAACATTAAAAAAAATTTTTTTTAATGTGGCAGGTGTAGCAGGAGACACAGACAGGTCATAGAAGTGACCACACGGCAAGAGAGGGGTGCAGAATACCCGGGATCACCAGCAAAGATGTCCCAGAGAAGGTGCACTCTGAGCTAGGTTCTAGGGGGCAGAAAGGCCTTCACAAAGAGAGAATGAGTGTGAAGGAAGGAAACCTACGGCCCCACGGCTCTTACAGGAGCTCACGCAGCATGTGGCGGGAGCAGAAGTGGGAATGGCAGGAACCAACGCTACGCCAGCCTCGTAGACTACGCCGAGGCAACTCAGATGCATTCCCCCTGGTTGCTGGGGGCCTCTGGATTTGTCAGCAAGGGCACACAATTCATATACTTGAATTGAGAGCAGATCACACTTGTGCTTCTGTGGGAAACTGATTATAGAGAGAAGGGGTTGGATGCAGGAAGAACAATTAGGTTTTGGCAGTTATCCGGGGAAGAAAGGAAGGGCCCAGGAAAAGGATGGCAGTAGGGATGGACCCAAAACGACAGACTTGAGAGGTGCTTTACTTTTTCAAGTTCTGTCTGTAATCAAAATGTAATTTCTTAAATCCGTACATGTTGGTGGAAGTGTGTGTACACACATGTATGTGCCTGGCCAAGCTGTTCACTCAGCTCAGAAATCTTCCCTAGCAGATCCCAGACGGACTGACACCCCGGTGTAGCAGGAAGGCTTGCAGTAAAAGTGGATAGAACTATTCCCGCGTGTCACCCATCCTTCCGTTAGACCACTCTGGCTCCTAGAATACGATCCGCTGCACTGAGTAGAAAGCTACCACTATAAAACTTACTCATCAGCCTAATTCTATCCTTTGTAATATATACAGCATTCTAGGTGCTAGAAATTAGAACAGATAAGGTTTCGTATAATTCAGGAGCTGTCGTATTTCCCCTTAGCTGTCTATTTCCAGCCTAGCCACTGCTGGTCCTTTATTCCTCACAAACTGTGCTCAGGAACCTCATCGCCCTTGCTAAGCACAGCCGCCTGCCACCGCCAGTGGCCCAGTCACATGGCCTCAGCTGCATTCTGGTTTGTCAGTGTCTCTCCCAGCATGCAGCACCTAGAAGTATTTCATAATTCATATGTTTCCCAAGTCTCATTGTCCTTTCTCATAATTAATATAGACGGCTGAGGATTGAATGCAACTTTTCATCCCCAGGGCACATTTTTATGAGATTTACCACAAAGGTTTCATTTCTTCACTCAGAATATGGGAAGATTTTTAATTTACTCCACCAACAGGAGATAGAGAGGGTGTCTCCTTGGTCAAAGACCTGGGATTACAATTTAAACAGAGCTCCCCAAAGGAAGTTACTTACCAACAATGAAGTAGCTGTTGACAATCTTCAGAGACTGTGGGTCTTGCTGATTGGCTTCGCTTTCCTTGCACTAAAGCTTCTGCTAAATTGTTTCGAAATATCCCAGGGTAGACTTGGTCTCCTTGCTTCATTTTTCTTCTTTTCTCTAGGGCTCCTGGGAATAGGCTCTGCCTGGGTTCGTAGCCTGACTCTCTCCCTCATCAGCAAGGTGAACTTGAGTCAGTCTTTGTACTGCTTTGAGTCTCAGCTTCCTCATCTAGAAGCAAAGGACAGTTATCATTACCTGACAACAGTTCTGTACAGCTTAAAGGAGATGATATGTGGAAAATGCTTAGCCTTTGGCCGGAATCAGAGTTGGAATGTCGGCATAAATACAAGATACCCTGTTAAACTTGAATTTCGGATAAACAGTGAATAACTTTTAGTGTAAATGTGTCCCAGATATGACATCACCATCACTTTCTTCCTCTCGTCTTCCCTTTTTATTGTTCTTTCTTCTCCTTTCTTTCCTTCTCTTCCTCTTCCTTTTCTTTCCTTCCTCTTCTCTTCCTCCCCAGTATCTAGTTCTAATCTTACAAACATACCAATAGTAACATAACGACATTCCAAGTTTTATTTTTCTCAGAGCAACTGTGCCCGTTATCAGTGGTAGGGCCCAGCAGCCTGGGAGGCAGTCAAGGAGATACAAGACGGTGGCAACGGATCAGTGGCACGTGGACTAGAGGGTGGCTGGAGGGTCGTTTTACCCCCCTTCCTTTTTAAAAGTCTTGATTGTTGACTAAAAACTCCAGTTTGCTCACTCGAACAGCTCACTTTCACCTGCTCAAGCCTTAATCAGAAATGGAAACTTTTGTTTCAAACATCAGCACACTTCCAAAAAATCAATGTGTAATGGAATACCTTTTCATTTTTGCTACCTTCCTTCATCTTTTCTTAGTTTGCTTCTTCATGAAATCCCCAAACAAAGGCTATGAGGAATATTCAAAACCACTAAAGTTGTGCTCCACACTCGATATTCTTCCTGCTCTGGCCAAGAATCGTGAAGTCCAAACCGCTCCAAACTCATAGAGAATGGGCATATTCACAGGATCCCCCAATGATGATGATACAATAATTCTACGGGTCTTGTTTCCAGACTTTAAATACACTTACATACATACAATATATCATGGGATCTCTGATATATAATCAAGTTTGCTTGCCCACACTTAAACCACACGCACACACACACACACTTTTTCTTGTCCTTTTTCAAAAGGAAGAAAAGGGTCACCCAGATTTTCACTTTTATGAAAACAATAAGACTTTATTCCATTCCCAGAAATTCCGTTTTTTATCTGAACATCCCATGACCCAGAAGGGCTCTTCTCCCTGCATGTAGATGGCAAACCACAAAATGTCAGTCAACAGAAGGACCACACATTCCTATATTAAATTCTCCTTCCATTAGTCAAGAGATCTATAGCACTCTCCTTAAAGGAAGAAAAAAATATTAAAATGCTTCATTTCTTTCCCAGGACATATAAATTAGTATAGTTAGTCTCTCAGAATAAAAACATGTTTAGATGGATTCTGGACACTCCATTTAAAATATCCGTTACCCTCAAATCAAATTTTTGCTGCTGTTGAGTGGCAAGGGGCGATGCCCTGGGATCAGTGAGCTGCTAAGATTCCTTCTGCTGGAGTGTTTAATTTCATTTTACTTTCCACAAATAAGCATGCTTGGAGCCGCTGCCTTTCCTTCCTCTAGAGTAATCGAAAAATTTAATTCACATTAAGCCAGAGAGGATGGTGTTTTTCCCTAAGGTCACCCAAGGCAAACATTTTAAACCTCTAACAGCCCATCAGTCAGAGATGCATGTCTCATCCTTTCCTGATGAGGTGCCTCCTGGAGCCAAACAAAGCCTTCTGCCCAGCCCCACACCCTCCTCCACACCCCGCCCACTCAGCAGCTGGCTGAAGGTCACCCAGACAAGCCAGTGGGTACATCTCCAGATTCAGTCCCCACTCTGATTCCTCAGATGCCTACAGTATATGTCCCAGACATCTCTCCACTTGAAGATGTATGAGTTTCTAGGCTTCATTTCTTCTTAAAAGATTAATGTGAGTGGGGACCAAAAGCCTCTTTGCTACTGCAATTTGAACTGCAAGCAGCTTACCCGAGAATGAGTATTTTGCCGGCGCTAGGTTATGCTTCAAATCTTATCATCCCTTCCCTAAAAACTAATACCATTTTGCACCTATAAGATGCCTTTCATCAGCCCCAGGTAATACACCACACGTCGCCGTAAGTCAGAGATGAGTAAATCATTAATTGTTCATATTGCCTCACATGAGCACTTTCAGACCATCATGCACAAAGAATCAATCAAGCACAATGACATCTCTAAGTATTTCTCTTTTATTCCAGTACAAAGTGTGTGCAGTGAGTTAGAAACTACAAATTTCTCATGAACACAACCAAAAACATATCACTGAGATGACCAAGAACCACCAAAGTGGGAGATATCCGGATCACTGGGCTTTTTATCAGGAAGACTCAAGAAGCTTCTGAGGAAGAAGAAAGGAGTAGGAAGCATCTAAGCACTCTTATTTAGAAAAACACCTAAGAAGCTAGATTCTCCTTCTGTCGGCAGAGCATAGCATTTCTCCGCCACTTCTTCAAAGACAATACATTTCTTTCTTTTTTCTTTTTTCTTTTTTTTTTTTAAGAAAGAAAACGTAATGTAGTAACATGGTGAGACCTTGTTCCATCTGATTCTGTTCCTGGTTTTCCCTTTACTTCCATTACGGAGTTAGAATGTATGCCGCAGAGCGGAATCAGGTGGCCACAGGGGTGAATCCCCCTGGAAGGAAGGACGGAGATGTGTCTGATTCTGTGTGGGCAGCTCTTCCTCCTGGTGTCACGTCCCGGGCCCGGGGAAGAGAAAAGCTGCAAATAGAATGACAATGCTTTGCATCCCCAAACTGTGCCAAATTCGAGTCAGGTAAGATGGCTTTGCTAGGTATTCTCCATTTGAGCCAGATTCACTGTCTGCCCTTCTCTAGTTGTGTGAGGTTCATTGCTTCAGGATGTATCAGGCTTAGGGGTGCTATAGCATCTCAACTGTGGTAAAAACAGGCCCTTTGGATCACAGAAACCCCAAATCCCTCCAAACCCCTTGCTCCCCACTTTCCTATGGGGTGTGGCCTTCCCTCCCCCCGGGGTCCACCATGTCCCCGATGGTCCCAGCTATCAGCTCCCTGGTACCTGCTCCACTCTGGGTCTCCGGCCCATCACTACCCCCTTGTCTATTCTACTCCATATAGGGAGGGAATAGTGCGTGTTTTCTTCTGTTCAACCACAGGAAATTCCATTACTGGACTGTAAACACCCTGGTCCTAAATCCTCAGTTTTCAGGACTTGATGGAGACTTGGGATGCTGTCGTTTCCTTTGGCTTCTTGTTTATTACAGTCACCCTCACCATCACATCCCCTCCCCTACAGATTCGGGGCCATCATCTAACCGGATACTGGGCCTTAGACATTGCAGAATTAAGGTCCCTTTGTCTGCCAATGACAGAAATCCACAACATTAATTTAAACAAAAAATAGAAATTTGCCATATTATATTTAATTTTTAATATCTGATCTCACTGAGCCCCAGGGCAAGGACACTGAGGGGCCTCAGGATCAGACCAAAACTAGAATGCCTTTCAGATTGCTTCTCTGCGGTTTTCCTCTCCATGCTTTCAAACTCATACATGCTTTCAAATACTCTCTGGCTGCAGGTCAGCTTCCCAGCCTCCCCCCGCTCCCAGTTTCCTCTGAGGCTGGAACCTCTAAGTCCTAATTCTGGATTCCCCAAGGAGGAACCATGACTGACCCAGTGTGGCTTGGGGGCTGAGCCTGGACTAACCAGCTATGGCAGGGAGGTCAGGATGACATCACATAATATGGCTGTCATGGGAGTCAGCAGAGTAGAGAGACGGTTTTCAGGAAAAGCAGAAACTGAGCAAACGGCTCCTAAGTGTGTAAAACAGGCCTGCCAGTGTTGGCGCAACGGAGCCTCTGTATCTCAGCTCTCCCTCCCTGCAGGCAGAGCTCTGTCTTCACATGATAAATACCATGGCATAGAGGTCATTGCTACCGGCTTGATCCAGGAGAGAAAGACTTCAGCCCCAGAGCCCAGCTAGCATGGCTCCCAGAAAGCATCCTCACCCCTTCCCAATTCTAATAGCTCTCCCCCAACTCCTAGATGCCAGGTATTCCACAATGGGCTCCGCAGCCTGCTGTACCACACTCCTTGTGGGTACACTGGGCAACACGGGGCTTTGGGATCAGGCCAAGTTGCTTCTGATGTTGGTTCCATCACTTACCAGTGGGGGCCCTTCATGCCAGCTATGTACCCTTTCTGAACCTCAGTTTCATCATCTACAAATGGACAGGGCAATGCTCATTTCAAAGGGTTGAAATGAGCTACCCTATGCCAGGCAGTTAAAACAGTGCCTGGTGAGAGGTGCCTGGGTGGTTCAGTCAGTTGAGGGTAGGACTCATGGTTTCAGTTCAAGTCATGATGTCACAGCTCAGGTCATGATCTCATGGTGAGATCTAGCCCTGCATCAGGCTCCATGCTGGCAGTACAGAACCTGCTTGGGATTCTCTCTCTCTGCCCTTCCCCTGTGTGCTCTCTCTCTCTCTCTCTCTCTTAAAAATAAACAAATTAGGGCACCTGGGCAGCTCAGTCCATTAACATCTGACTTCAGCTCAAGTCACGATCTCACAGCTCATTAGTTCCAGCCCCGTGTTGGGCTCTGTGCTGATAGCTCAGAGCCTGGAGCCTGCTTTGGATTCTGTGTTTCCCTCTCTCTCTGCCGCTCCCTTGCTTGCACTCTGTCTCTCTCTTTCAAATATAAATAAACATTTAAAAAATAAAAATAAACAAATAAATAAACTAAAAAAAAAAAGCGCCTGGTGAATTTTAGGTGCTCAATAGAACATTTCCTTTTTTACTGTTGTTGTTGATGTTGTTGTTTTTAATATTACCCTTTATATTGAAAACTTCAAATGCCATTTTAAAATAGGCAAATGCCTGAAACTAACATAACATCATACATTAACAACACGGGAATTAAAACAAAAAGTAAAACAATAAAATCGACAAACATTCTTCAGGTCGATTTCATAACTACAGAGCCTACACCAGGTTCCAAAAACACTGGATAGCACATTCCAATAAAGCAAATGGCTGTAAAACAAAATAAAAGCAGATAGTAAATATAAAGACCTTTTTGCCTTGTTTTTTGTTTGTGTTTTCTGACACCTGCAAAGAATGTCACCTCCTAATTGGAATTATAAGAATGAAATTTAAAAAACGCATAAAGGGCAAAGCACTGTTCCTGGAGATTGGACATATTCAGCCCATGGTGGCTGTTGTTTTATTACTATAACTAGTATGATTGTGATTATGGTTATTAGTCCCAAGGAAAAAGAAGCTTAAATATTCATTGGCAAATCCTTTAAGGTGATCTCTTCATTGCCTACTGTGCAAAGCCATGAAGCTTCCCTTCCTGGTTAAGTTTGAAATTAATGTATATATGTGGGATTAGATATAAATCAATATAAAAAACTCAAAGTAATTTTAAAAAATATATTTTTGTTGCAAAGGGAATTATCGACTAACAGCACAGAGAAGAATAGTTGCTCTGGGAAGCCGGCAGTTTTTTGGTGGTTATTGCTAGATATAGCTCCTGCTAAGTTCCATACTGCCTTTTGCTCAGGCAGCTTCCTATCTTCTGTTAGAAATAAGTGCCTTAAAACCCCAAGGCAAAATATACAACTTTCCAGCACACCTTGAACAACTTATCTCGGTTGTCTGTGACCTAGATTCACCGTAATGCGAAAGGGAGGCATGAATGTCGGCGTTTAAGAATTCGGATGCCTCCCTCCGCTCTGGGTTTCCACCTGGATCTGCAGGCTGATTCGAAATGAGCTCTAAGGTAATCTCTGGGCAGGAATTCTGTAAGGGGTGGTGCCTGGCATGGACCACACTGTAAAAATAATTTTCCCTACAAAGAAAATCTCCTGGCTGGAGGCAGCCATTACATTTCTTGGCCAGAGCCTGCAAAAGACATCTTCTTTAGGCAGGCACAGGGGAAACGCTGCCTCTCTGGTGTTGCTAGATTTGTTCTCTGTGTTCAGTATTGATTTTTCCTTCAGTGGAAAAGCAAAGGCATGAGAGCATGAAGGAGAGAGAGGTGGGTTCCCTTCCCTCACCACAGGCTGGTAGTGATGACTCAAAGCAACTCTGACCCACTCCTTATCTTCCACATGCTAAGAGAAATTGAGCTGAGGAGTCTCCTCTAGTTAGAGAGAGCTATGAGACAGGAGTGTGCTATAGAGGCGCTCTGAGAAACATGCTTCCTCCCCCCCGCCCCCCGCCTCTTATCACGCTGTCTCTAGTCACATATAGTCTGGTTAGGGTGTTGATAACCATATTATAATCACCCACATGCAATTTCAATGTGGATGAAAGCATGCTCCATTTAGAGTTGATTTTCCTTCCAGTGCAAAAAATTGTCATCTTCTTTATTTCCTAACGTTTCTCAAGAATTTTGCAAATTGTGAAGCATATTTATTAAAAGACTTTTTTCATATCAGAGAGACTGATCCATATAAGGCAAAGGTTTTTGCTAGGCAGATCCATGATTCTGCCTCTTTGATGGGGAGAAATTGCTTCTGTGCAAGAACTAATACCCACCTGGTTTCAAACCTCTGCCTCTGGCAAATATGTCATAGTAAGAGACATTTCCTGTTTCTTTGACAGATTGGCCCAGGGCTGAAATTTAATCTAATATGTCAAAAGTGGTGGGAGGGAGCGGAGAGAAAGGCAGAGAAACACAAAACCTCCCCAGATTTTTACAGTAGTTTGAGACAAGTGTGGGTATTGGTTGGTGTTGATAAGCATTAAAGTAAACACTGAAAAATGAAATAAGAAAGAACCTAAATAAACCACTGCATTTGTATTTTTTAAATGATAAAAGATTTACACCAAACGTAAGAAAGATGTAGATATTTACATGCAAAAAGCAAAAAAAAGAATCTAGGAACAGACTTTACATCCTTCACAAAAAATAACTCAAAATAGTTGATAGGCCTAAATATAAAATGCAAAACTATGAAAGTTCTAGAAGATAGAGGAGAAAATCTAGGTGACCTTGGGAATGACAACGACTTTTTAGATACAACATCAGAAGCACAATCCATGAGAGAAATAATTGATGAACTGGACTTCATTAAAATTTTAAACTTCTGCCCTGGAAAAGACACTGTTAAGAGAATGAGAAGGACAGCTACAGACTGGGAGAAAATATTTGCAAAGGACACATCTGATAAAGGCCTAGTGTCCAATTTCTACTTGGAACTCAACAAAAAGAAAACAAACAACCAATTTAAAAATAGGCAAAAGTACTGAACGGAAACCTCACCAAAGAAGGCATACAGATGGCAAACAGCATAGGAAAAGATGTTCAACATCATATGTCATCAGGAATGCAAATGAAGCAACAATAAGCTACCACCACCCTCCCAAAACCCAGAACACTAGCTACACCAGGTGCTGGTGGGGAATGCAAAATGGTACGGCCTCAGTGTGGCTGTTTCTTACAAAATGAAACATTTACCTAAGTGAGTTGAAAACTTACGTCCACACAAAAACCTGCACGTGAGGTGCTTGGGTGGCTCAGTCGACTGAGTGTCCGACTTCAGCTTAGGTCATGATATCGCGGTTCCTGAGTTCAAGCCCTGCATAGGGCTCTCCGCTGTCAGCACAGAGCCCGCTTCAGATCCTCTGTCCCCCTCTCTCTCTACCCCTCACCTCCTACTCTCTCTTTCTCAAAAATAAATAAAACGTTAAAAAAAAAAAAAAAACCCTGCATGTGCTTGTTTAGAGC